ACATATATGTAGTACCTGATACGACAACGACCTCTTCAGCACATGTGAGTGTGGCGGGGAAGTGTATGTGTGTGTGGGTGGGGGGGGGGGTCTGTGTGTGCGTGCGTTGTTGTACGGCAATACCGATACAGTCCCCCATCCAATACCAATACCGATACAGTCCCCCATCCAATACCAATACCGATACATGCTCACCTATCCTCATAGCCCCCGGCTATACTAATCGCGTATCTGATACCGATACCGATACAGTACTGCATCCGATACCGATACCAATACGGTCTCGCATCCGATACCGATACAGTCCTGCATCCGATACTGATACCGATACCGTTACGGTCCCACATCCGATACCGATACCGATACGGTCCGGCATCCGATACAGTCACTCACCTGTCCTCGTAGTGGAAGCTGACGTCGCTGAACTCTACACGACCCTGCTTGGCGACGATGCAGGGGGCGCCGGCGGCATCGGTGACCTCTTGTTTCTCGTCCAGAAGATCGATCATGTTCTCCATGTCTATGTACGATTGCTGGATCATTCTATAAGTAAGGACGAGCGTATAATGTAATTTAGGATAAATCTCTGAGCTCATATCCTTCATCCAGCACATCTATCATATTCTCTATGTCTATGTACGATTGCTGGATCATTCTCATTCTACAAGTAAGGACGAGCGTGTAATGCTTTTTGTTTGCAACAACTTTTTGATAAAATACCTCAAGGTAAGTAATAATATGGAAAAATAATATCGTTTAGTATTTCTATTGAAAAATACACATAGATGGGTTCGCATAGGCTTTAAGGATAGATTTGTGAGCTCCTATCCCTCATCCATCAGATCTATAGTATTATACTCGCTATGTCTATGTACGATTGCTGGAACGTCTCACAAGTAAGGAGGGTCCAACATGCACTCAGTTTCTATAATCAACCACAATGACCCCCACGATGACACCGCAACAACGCCGTAGCAACCTCGCCACGACCACGCAATGACCACATGATGTCACCGCAACGACCACATGATGTCACCGCAACGAGTATTGGATGGGGGACTGTATCGGTATTGGTATTGGATGGGGGACTGTATCGGTATTGGTATTGGATGGGGGACTGTATCGGTATTGGTATTGGATGGGGGACTGTATCGGTATTGGTATTGGATGGGGGACTGTATCGGTATCGGTATTGGTGAATCAGCCATTCTACTTCTGCTTGCAGGCGACCGATACTGAAGCACGTCACGTTCACCGTGGAGCCGGGAGAAACCGTCGCTCTGGTGAGTGATCTACCTAGTCCTCCCTCCTTACCACGCTCATGCAATGCACTTTAAACACTTGCCATGCATTGCTTGCCTACATGCTAACATTTATGAGTTTATAAGGTTAGTGACACGAAGAACAACGAGGACCTTGACGCTTGACCAGGAAACAACCCGTGTTGAGCTAACACGGGGTGTTTGTCTGGTGGTCTGGTGGTGGTTGCCACGGTGGCGTATCTATGCTACCCTTATAATAATTAATCCAAGGAACTATACCAAAAACAGAGAGAGACAAAGTTGATCAGATAGACAGATCAACACTGTGTATCGCAGTAGAAAAAAAACTTTGCAATTTTTGCAATTAACCGAAGAGGAAAGCAGAGAGTTCCAATATGGAATGACAGAAACAATTATGCTAAACTTAAAGGGATAGCTGCTGGTAACGTGTGTGTGTCTGTAGGTCGGACAGACAGGCAGCGGTAAGAGCACAATCATACGTCTCCTATTCCGCTTCTATGACATCAA